GAAAGAAAGAAAGAAAGAAAGAAAGAAAGAAAGAAAGAAAGAAAGAAGAAAAATAGAAAGCAAAAGTTAATGTGTTATTTTTTTTTATGTGCAAACGATTCTACTTTGGTGAATTCATGCAGTCAAGGAACATTCTTTGAGGTTTCCTTCTGCAATTTAGAGAGCACATATGTCCTAAGAGATTTTTTAAACCATGGTCTATATTTATTTACTATCAACAACAGAGAAAAATGAAGCTAAATCTGGTCTGTCCCTTTCCTCCCTATAATTTGCTCTGTTTCTATTTTTGTAGCAATCAAGTTTCAATGATTTAATCAAATGTCTCTTGTTTGGCAGGTGCTAGAGTGCTCACTTATATTAGTGTACAAAGTGCCATATTTAGGAACTCAGTCTGTCGGTTTACTGGCTACAGGCATGGCTTTAAAACACTAAATACATGTATTTAAACTCAGCGTTTATTTTTACAGCTCCCTATCCAAATGATCAGGATGTGGCTATCTGTTAGAGGATACATTAAAACTGTTTTTCTATATACACCCAAGCTCCAAAATACATGTGTCAGATATAATCATCAATACTGCGAACACAATCATCCTGTTACATTTATAAGCCTGTGGGCATGGAAGGAACTTGGTTGGTGAGACGTTTGTAAAAATAGTTAAAGAAAGTCCACATAGAAAGACTTGTAAAACAGGGCAATTTGGCACTTGAAAACTATTTTTAGCATAATAAAAACTAAGGGAGGTAAACATCACAATTGTAATTTACCGCTGATTAAATGGGAGTGTTGCTTTTTAAAGTAGATGTATAAAAATATGAGAATATTTTTAGATACAGCTATACTTTTTAAATATCTTTCTCTGTATAGATGAAAATAAAAGAAAAGTAAGCAAAATCTTCAGGAAAAATATAAACAAGAAAGTGGCTGGTTTTCTGAAGGAAAAACTAATGCAATTTTGGTTGATATTTTAATCAAATGATTAAGAACTGTGTTCTCTCAAGATGTATGATTTCTGTGTTTGGAAATATTATCTCATTTATCATTTTCCAGTACTCACTGAAAACCTCAACTCAGTACCAAGTTGGCAAACAGAAACCCCCAAATTTACTGTTCCTTTGTAGGAAATGGTAGAATACAGACAAGGGACTAGTGACTTGTCTTAGTCATAAGACTCCAAAAGAAAATAATTAATGTCATAATGAACAAGTAGCTTATGCTAAATTATTGTTACATTTGGTAAGACAAACATTGTAAACATGGTGATGATATTTTTCATTTTAAATCTTAAGGAACACACATAATAGAGAAGTGACTCTGTCTATACAAAATAATTCATCTTGTAACATATAACAGAAATTGCTAAGAGCTATAGTCAAAGTTCATGACAATAATAAGAAAGTATAAAGTAGGAGGACACATCAACACATGTGTGATTACTAAAGTAATGTTGAGTAATGGCACATAGATGTTCCTTAGCGTGCAAATGATAAGCAGCATTTGAGATAAAGGCTTTAAGGATGAAGCAATTCCATCTCCATGAACTCTTTTGATGTGGTAATTATTTCTCACATCATACATAAGAAAACAGAAGCGCAAGTGAGTTAGATAACCCATGTCCAAGGTCACAGCAATACTAAAGCAAAATGAGACTGAAAACCAATTATTCAACATCCAAAGTCTCTTAATCTTTGTCCCAGAAAGTGTTCTAAGGGATAGTTTATGGAGATATTAACACCCAAGCCTGTGGTCTTTCCTCAGTGGACAATGCCTCTTCCTTCACTGTGCAGTATTTTAATATGGTCATATCAGACTCCCAGGCAGCAAATCTAATGGAATAAATGATGAGTTATAATTAGAAGCATAGTGTTTTAATCTAAAAATTCTGAGATTTGTAAATGATCTTTCCATGCTTACTGCTCAGCATTAACAAGTATAGTTTACTCATGTGTATTTGCTTTCTAAAAATAATTTCCTTATGTTTCTTTCAAATCTTATTCATTTTATTTCTTCTTCTTTTTTCCTTACTCAGAGGCAACCATAATCGAGAATCAAGTTCTATTGAAATACACACACACTATATATAAATGATGATGATGATGATGATAGATAGATGATACATAGGTGATAGATAAATAAATAGATGATAAATTATTGACAGATAATTGATCAGTGTAGATAGATAGATGGCTGATTAGATATATAAATAGATAGATAGAGATAATCCAATATATATAATTACTTCAAATATTTACATAGTACTTTATGTAATGAATATATGTTACATTTCCATATCCACTCAAAAAAATTTATTTGAAATCCACATCTACAAATAAACACTAAATTCATTTTTTAATCATAAATATACATCTGAGTAACATAATTTAAGCCCATATTTTGAATGTCTCTCATTTAATCCTGTCATCATGTCTTGGATAGAACACATAAATTGATTCTTAATTTTTACTGTTAAAACTACAGAGGCTATGAACTTTCCAACAGCTATATCCTTACAAGCATGTGGACATTTGTCAGGGATATAAACCTAGAAGTGAAATGAAGATACACTTGTTAAAACATGACCATTTTCAACCTTTCTTTGTATTGCCCAATTTTCCTCAAACAAGCGTATCTAATTCCACCTTTATCAAGACTTTAAAAAAAATTGTTCAAATATTATTCTAACATTTGCAGTGAAGAATTTCTTTTTCTTAATGTGATATATATAAAACACCATGGTATTTGTGTTGTGGGACATTTATTTCCAATTGCGTTCTCTCTTTTCTATGAAATATCAATTTATAACAGGACTATTTTTATTTACTTGATCGTCAGTTTTTTATACTTATCAGACTTAGTAAGTTTTTCCTTACTTATGCATGTTGAAAATATCATCTGTGTTACACTTTGTTCCTTGATTTTGTTATTTTGATTTTGTTGGTACCTCCATGCAGAATTTTCTAATTTTAGAATGTTAAATTTCAATACTTTAAAATAACATATTCACCTTTTGAATTTTGCTTACAGAATCCTGATCCAACACAAGAATATAAATATATTCTTTTATTTAATGTGTAGTGTTTCAAGGTTTTTAATTCTTGCAGGTGTACCATGATTCTGTCTCAGACATTCAAAGCTTTATTCTCTCACATTTTGCTAATATGCAGCTGTAACCACTACCCCAATAATAAAGTTATATGATATTGTTTTCTCAGATATTTTGCTAGATTTAATTAAATTATTATTAATTATATACATACAATGTAACTTTCCTGGGAAATGAATTCTTTATATAATTTATTACAGGAGATTGTAATAAATTTTTACATAATTTAAATAAAACAAATTTTATTAGGCCTTACTTACGCTGGTAGACATCTACTGCAGACCATACAAGTGATTGGCTTTATTTCTAAGAAGCTTTTCTTTAGATTCTGTTTTCTGTGTTTATACTTCAAATTAACTAATATCAACCCTGATGTATCTGCGCCTAGATGCTGGACTGGAGATTGGCGAGTGCACACTTCGTCCTGGTTATGATTCTGATGCTATGGGGCTCAGGAAAGGCGTTCTCCGTGGACGTAGCAACAGAGGTAATAGAAACCAGCTTAGGATGTCACATGAAAGGGCAAAGGAGATGGCTCAGGCAATAAGACGCTAGCCAAGTAAGCATGTGGACCTGAATTCAGATTCCCAGCACCCACATGCAAGCTGGCTACAGAAACCAGTACTACCGATTCCAGTGCTGGGGGTGTGAAGACAGAATCTCTGGGACTTATTAGCTCCGCTGTCTGGCCTCGTCAGTGAGCTCCAGATTCTTCTAGAGCCCCTATTTTAAAAATTAAACTAAAGGAAAATACTTGATTTTAGCTTCTAGCCTCCATATTCACACACACACACACACACACACACACACACACACACACACAGAGCATGTTTCTATTTTAACAGACATAAGCTTTTTCTACCATAGCCAGAAGATACAAGTGAGAATATCTTCAGAACAGAAAACCAAGAAGACAAGCATTTTTAGGTTACCTTACTCTCATTGCCAATGACATTTAAGTTTGCCAACTTCAAATATATAAATGATGATAACTATTGAGTTCAGATAATTCAGAGAGAGTGACTTTAAATATTTTTAAAAGTTAGTAAAATTTGTATTCCTCAAATAATAAAAAATCTATTATCATTACAAACATATTTTACTTTGCATCAACAGGAGATGTTGTTACATAAAATGTGAAGTTGGTTTCAGGCCAAATTTTAAGTAGTTTTGGTCAAGCCTTTTATTACAATAGGAGACAAAGTTCTAGTTTTTGTATTGTATTAGTTGGAAGAATCAAGCCACTTCCCAGATATTTTAGTTTCCATATTTTCTGACTGTGGCCATTTGTTCTCCCAACAAGAAGCTTTTCCAGTGCTTGGTAGGTTGTGACCGTTGGCTTCAGAAAGCAGCCAAGAGTAGTGGAGGCAGACCAGCAGGGCAGTGCTGAGTGACTAATGTGCCAGCCTTCCTGCAGGCCACAGGTACAGCGTGCTTTCCCTAAGGTGGCAAGTGTTACAACCTGGTGTAGCCCAAGGATGTTCAGCTTTCCCAACCCTTAAAAGCAACATGTGGTACAGTCCCTGGTCCTAAAGCATCTGAGGTCTTAGGTCCTTAAGGCCTGCCAAAATCTCTGGAAGGATTCCGGTAACTACAGTTTTACTTTTCTGGCTGTCCTTCAGACTAGGGTGCCTGATCATTCTTACCTTCTCTTTACTCTCTCCATTTATTTCGTGTCTACCTCGAACCCTGTGTAGTGGAGATCCTTTCAGCTCTCTATATTTGCTGAGGTTGTTGTCACAGCTGCCATCGAAGGGAAAGTAACTGCCATTCCCTTGTACCTCTGTTGATACTGTCTCTGCAGTCAGCCAGCTCCTACTTTTCTGTTGTCGAAATGTCAACTGCTACTGAAGCTTTGCCTTGCCTCTGTAACAACAAAAACAGACAGGAAAAGCCACTGGAGAGAAGAACCTTTGCAATGGGCCTAGTGTTGTTAAGGGCAGAAAAGGGTATCTATCAGCAAGCTTACAAAATGAGCTCAATGAGCTGAACTATCTGCTTGTACAGCCACATACACAGATTATTTACAGAAAAATCCTCATGCAAATGAAGGCATGTGTTTACACCAATTGTGGCATTACTGGTGTTATACCAAGCACATCAGTCCTTCTGCTAGGTCACTCGTCTGGCCTTGGTAGAAATATTTGCAGGGAAAATCTAGCCCAGCCAATCTGAAATAGTCATGAATAGCATCATATCTTCAGGAGCCAGCATCATGCCTCAGCAGGAAACAGCTCCAATTGTCATACAACTTCCTCCAGCTACCTCTCTAGCACCCAAAGTACTAGCATAAGGATAGACCAGCTGGCCCTTTGACTAATAATCAATCCTTTGCTCACGGCCACCAAGAGAAAAGTCTATCAATTGTTATTTAAGGACTTGAGTTACTCCATCCCTCTTTTATTTTGGATAACTCAAAAGAAAATAAACATCAAAGAGAATACCTACAATGAGAACTTATTAAAAATTAATGTTGATTTTTAAGTGCTAGCTGCAGTTTAATGATGCGGACCCTATGGAGAAATAGAACTCCCCAATTTGTCTCTCTTTGGTCAAAGATTGTTGCCCTTTGAAGTTATTTCTGCTACTCTTTAGGGACTCTTTACTATAATGTAACATCCTTCCCCTGTTGTAATCCACCCTGTGGCACAAGAAAGTATGTAACCAAAAGGGAGAAGAGAAGAAATACTGGAGCTCAAACGTCCTCCTGGAAATAGTCTCAGGCATCGAGAACAGAAGTTATATTCCTTAACTACAGAGGAGCCTGGGGTTTTAAACAAAAGCAGTTTCTAAAACTCTTGTTACTAGGCTTCAGAAGGGAAAAAAAGACTTCCCACACTAAACACTCATTGATTTAGACCTACATGAAGTACAAAAAAGAAAACACAGGTAGAAGATAAACAAATCAAATTTGCCTGTAATCGGTGTTATTCTTGGGATGGTTCTACATCTTGTTTATGTTTTGTTAATAAATTACATGAACTGAGATATTCATTTTCTTGGGCACAGAAATAGGATTTTGGTTTTTTTTTTCTTCTTTTTTTGTATTTTTTCTTTTTTATTATTATCATTTATTACAATTTATTCGATTTGTATCCAGGCTGTGGCCCCCTCCCTCGTCTCATCCCAAGCCCACCATCCCTCCCTCTTCTTCCCCTATGCCTCTCCAAATCCTCCTGATTGAGGAGGTCCTCCTCCCCTTCCCTCTGATCCTGACCTATCAGGTGTCATCAGGACTGGCTGCATTGTCTTCCTCTGTGGCCTGGCAAGGCTGCATCCCCCAGAAGGAGGTGATCAGAGAGCCTGCTGTTGAGTTCATGCTAGAAATGGTCCCTACTCCCCTTACTAAGAAAACCACCTGGAGGCTGATTCTATGGGCTACATCTGAGCGGGGGTTTTAGATTATCTCCATGCATTGTCCTTGGTTAGGGTATCATTCTCTTCAGAGACCCCTTTGCCCCAGTTTTTTGGTTCTGTTGCCTCCTTGTGGAGCTCCTGTCCCCTCCAGATCTTCCTCTCTCCCCTTTCTTTCAAAGATTCCCTGCCCTCTGCCCAAAGTTTAGCTATGAGTCTCAGCCTCTGCTTTGATACCTCAATCAGTGAAGTCTTTCAGAGGAATTCCATGGAAAGCTCCTGTCCTGTTCCTTTTTTCTACTTCCAATGTCTATCCTGTTTGCCCCTCTGAATGAGGATTGAGCATCTTTCCTAGGGTCTTCCTTGTTGGTTAGCTTCTTTAGTAGTATAGATTTTAGTATGTTTATCCTATATTATTAGGCTAATGCCCTTTTATGAGTGAGTATATACCATATGTGTCTTTCTGCTCCTGGGATGACTGACTCAGGATGATCTTTTCTAGTTCCCACCGTTTCCATCCAAATTTCATGATTTCCTTGTTTTTAATAGCTGAGTAGTATTCCATTGTGTAAATGTATCACAATTTCAGTATCCATTCCTCCATTGAGGGACATCTAGGTTGTTTCCAGACTCTGGTTATTACGAATAGAGCTACTATGAAGATGGTTGAGCAAATGTCCTTGTTGTATAGTTGAGCATATTTTGGCTATATGCCTAGGAGTGGTATTGCTGTATCTTGAGGTAGCACTATTCCTAATTTTCTGAGAAGGCACCAGATTGATTTCCAAAGTGGTTGCACAAGTTTACACTCCCACCAACAATGGAGGCTTTTTATATGCCTTAGTTCTTATGCAGAACCAGGGACACAATGGGATGTTAGTGGTTTGCATAGATTATAAATAAATCATGAAAGTGAAATATCATGACATTTAGAATTTTGCTTTCAGAAAACAAATACAGATTTTGTTAAATACTGGCATGGGCATTAAACAGAAGAAATAAAAGCTTCATCAGATAACCATGGTTCATACGTTACTTATACTTTAATAGGAAATACGAATTTTTTGTAACAGATATTATTGTAAATAAAATTTGATGAGTGCAGTGATGAAAAGAGATACATGAAAAATGCCAGGAGGTCAAGGAAGGACGCAGCTATATCTGATGCTAAATCTAGAAGACCAATGAGTAAATATATTATATTTTAGAAACGAGCTGGGAGGATTGTTTTGTTATTTTTCTCTTGGGTGTATTCCTCCTCTGTATGTTTCAGTTTCCCCGAGTCTTTAGAAAGAAAACCCCAAGACATCATAAGGTGAGCAACAGGCATGTTATGTTGTGGTAGAAAATGCTTATCCAAACTTGTTTTTCGTGGTCTGAGTGAATGAGTCCACCTCTCTCTGTGCTGTAGGCCTCTGAGTTTGGAGCCACGGGCTTGCAGTCACCACCCACAGTCAAGGAACAGAAGTCGGCCACTGAGCTTTCGTCTAAGCTCCTTCTTCTTGATGACCTGGTGTCACTGGAGAACGACGTATCCGAGACCAAGAGGAAAAGGAGCTTCTCTGGCTTTGGATCTCCCCTTGACAGACTCTCAGCTGGGTCTGTGGAGCACAAAGGGAAACAGAGGTGGGTGAACAAGGAAAAGTACCCCACTCTCCCCATCTTCTGTTCCAGGCTCTGCAGTGGAATCCCACACCTAAAACATCGTCAATAACTTGAATGTGTCCAGAAATTGAGTGTGCTGACCAACGTGTGGGTCAAATTATGAACTGGGATGGAAATGCTTTGGAAGCAGCGGGACTATGGTGGTGTGCTTGAATATCTTACTGTGCTTCCTAGGGAAGAACTTCTTACAAGTAGTTTACAACATAAGTTACTCTAAGACAGCATTGTTTGTAGCAGGTAAGGGAAGAAGTGTCTGTGATGGGTACTCCTGTCACTTGAAATTGATATTTAAGAGGAATAGTCAGAACAGTGGTTTCATGTTTTTTTCCTTTCTTTTTTCTTTTTTTTTTCAGATTATTCTTAATACAGAGCTTTTTAAAAATCATATTAATTTAATTCATCTCCTACAGCGAGAATTAGCAAAGGATGCTCAAAATTTGTTTCATTGTGCATGCGTTTAAAATCAAATTTCTTTTTTGATCATGTGTCTCATACAAAATTCTCCATTGTTCTCAGCTTATTTCTCTCTAAAATGGATATAAGTACTTACCTATATAAAATCAGATGATACAATCAAATGGAAGTGTTTTGTAAGCTACTACTTGTTATAAAATAATTAGAATATATTTCTTGATGCTCTCCCTTACTTAATGACTGAAGAATCATTGAATTACTCTCCATACTGTTAAACCATCATTCTAAACATAATTTATCTTCTACCATCAGCATTTGTTCCTCTTGCATATTTTATATTATAGTGGTATGAGTCCCCTGTACCACATCTTATAGTGACCTGCCATATTTTCACTGTCCTCTAAGCCCTATTTTTTATGTTACATAAATATTTCCCCCTCACTACAGCTTCTCTGATTTTATTTTATTTTAAATTATTTGTTTTTATATTGATTCTTTCTTGGGTCTTTATCTCTTTCTCTGTACTATCCCCACCATTTTTTCACCAGTTCACCTTCTCCTGTCCCTTGATGATAATCATCTATATAGAAACATTTGTCTGAGACATTCCCTACTGATTACAGAGTTAAAATAAACTGCTCATAAAATATTGCACAGGATGTCTGGAAGAGCACCCCATGTTTTTCCATCAGCTGCTTATCCTCTGCCAAGGACCCTTTGGTTTACTTGGAGTTTTATGATTTGCTCTCTTCTGGTCCATGACTATGTTGATAATAAGGGTTTAGAAAGCAATTACTCCCTATCCTGAGAGAGTCTCAGAGTTCTACTAGGAATGACCACTCCTTAAAGATTGAAGTTTGTCTAACCTATAATGAAAACCAATTTCATAACTATTTTGAAATCTATACACTCTAAAATAGACAATCACAAAGTTTTAGACATCACACAAAGGTGTGATGTCGTAATCTAGTTATAAGGAGAATCAACATATAACTCTTTCTCTCTCTCTCTCTGTCTCTGTCTCTCTGTCTCTCTCTCTCTTTCTCTGTCTCTCTCTCACACACACATACACACACACACACACACACACACACACACACACACACACACTTACCCCAGATCCAAAGTATGTCTATCACTATAGATCAACTTCATGAACCAATGAGTTTATTGGGGGTCACTTAGAGAAATGTGGCTGAAGGGTCACGGAAATGACTCAAAGACAGCTGCATCACCAAAGCTCACCCCAGAATGGGGGACAGTACACAAAATCTGGGAACTTGTAACATACTGTGCAGCCTACAGGCAGCGCAACAGATGGGAGAATGTCCTTTCCAGGTTCATCAGTTGTTCTGAGCTTCATCCAGGCAGCTCATCTTGTCTTTGCTTGGCTGGTTTCTGAGCCATCTAGGTCAGGGGTCTACCTCAGTATGACTTTACTACTTATACGCTCTTGGAGAAAGAAAGGGCCAAGTCAGTTTCAGGGACTTTCTGATTCTAATTTGAGTTGTTTATTTCATGTCTGGAGAAGCTTCCCTAAGGACGGCATATTTTTCTTTTTTTAATTAAATTTTTATTAATTACATTTGATTCACTTTGTATCCCAGCTGTAGCACAATCCCTCATCCCCTCCCAAACCTACCTTTCTTCCCTCATCTCCTCCCATGTCCCTTCTCAAGTCCGCTGATAGGGGAAGTCCTCCTCCCTTTCCATCTGAACCTAGCCTATCAGGTCTCTTCAGGACTGGCTGCATTGTTTTCCTCTGTGGCCTAGTAAAGCTGCTCCCCTCTCAGTGAGAGGTGATCAAAGAGCTAGCCACAGAGTTCCTGTTAAGAACAGCCCCTGTTCCCCATACTAGTGCACCCACATGGAGACTGAGCTGCCATGGGCTACATCTGAACAGGTGTATTCTAAGTTATCTTCATGCATGGTCCTTGGTTGGAATATCAGTGTAAGAAAAGACCCTTGGGCTCTGATTTTTTTTTTTTTGGTTCTATTGCTCTCTTTGTGGAGTTCCTGTCCCCTCCAGTTCTTTCTATCTCTCCCTTCTTTCATAAGGTTCCCTGTACTCTGTCCAAAGTTTGGGTATGAGTCTCTGCATCATCCTCAATACACTGCTGGGTAGAGTCTTTCAGAGGCCCTATGTAGTAGGCTCCTGTCCTGTTCCCTGTTTTCTCCCTCTTCCAATGTCTGTCCCATTAGCCTTTCTGAGTGAGGATTGATTCTCTTACCCAAGCAACCTTCTTGCTTAGCTTCTTTAGATTTTAGTGGGTTTATCCTATATTATATGTCTAATATCCACTTATAAGTGAGTATATACCATGTGTGTCTTTCTGCTTCTGGGATACCTCACTCAGGATGATCTTTTCTAATTTCTATCATTTGTCTGCAAATTTCATGATTTCCTTGTTTTTAATGGCTGAGTAGTATTACATTGTGTAAATGTACCACAATTTCTGTATCCATTCCTCAACTGAGGAACGTTTGGGTGGTTTCCAGGGTCTGGCTATTACAAATAAAGCTGCTACAAATACGGTTCAGCAAATGTCCTTGTTGAATACTTGTGCCTATTTGGAGATATCCTAGGAGTGGCATAGCTGGATCTTGAGGAAGTGCTATTCCTAATTGTCTGAGAAAGCACCAGATTGATTTCCAAAGTGGGTGTACAAGTTTACATTCCCACCAGCATTGGAGGAAGGTTCCCCTTACTCCATATCCTCTCCAGCATGTGTTGTCACTTAAGTCTTTGATCTTAGCCATTCTGATGGGTGTAAGGTGAAATCTCAGGGCTGTTTTGATTTGCATTTCCCTGATAACCAAGGACATTGAGCATTTCTTTAAGTGTTTCTCTACCATACAATATTACTCCATTGAGAACGATCTGTTTAGCTCTGTACCCCATTTTTTAATTGGATTACTTGATTTGTTGCTTTTTAACTTCTTGAGTTCTTTATATATTCTGGATATTAGCCCTCTGTCAGATATAGGGTTGGTGAAGATCCTTTCCCAGTCTGCAGGCAGTTGTTTTGTTCTGATGACAGTATCCTTTGCTTTACAGAAGCTTTTCAGTTTCATGATGTCCCATTTATTGATTGTTGCTCTTAGATCCTGTGCTGTTAGTGTTCTGTTCAGGAAGTTGTTTCTTGTGCCAATGAGTTCAAGGCTCTTCCTCACAGTTTATTCTAACAGATGTAGTGTGTCTGGTTTTATATTGAGGTCTTTGATCCACTTGGTCTTTAGTTTTGTTCAGGGTGATACATATGGATCTATTTGCATTTTTCTACATTTAGACATCCAGTTATACCAGCACTGTTTGTTGATGATGCTATCTTTTTTTTCCCCAGTGTATTATTTTGGCTTCTTTGTCAAAAATCAAGTATCTGTTGGTGTGTGGGTTTATTTCTGGGTCTTTTATTCAATTCCGTTGGTCCACTACTCTGTTTCTATGCCATTACCATACAGTTTTTATTACTACTGCTCTGTAGTACAGCTTGAGATCAGGGATGGAAATACTGCCAGATAATCTGTTGTTGTTCAGGATTGTTTTAGTAATTCTGGGTTTTTTGTTTTTCCATATGAAACTGAGAATTGTTCTTTTAAGGTCTGTAAAGAATTGTGTTGGTATTTTGATGGGAATTGCATTGAATCTGTAGATTGCTTTTGGCAGGATGGCCATTTTCACTATGTTAATCCTACCAATCCTTGAGCATGAGAGATCTTTCCAACTTCTGATATCTTCTTCAATTTCTTTCTTCAGAGGCTTGAAGTTTTTTTTTTTTTTTTTGTACAGGTCTTTCACTTGTTAGGTTACAGTCACACCAAGACACTTTATATTATTAGTGGCTATTGTGAAGCATGTAGCTTCCCTAATTTCTTTCTCAGCACTTTTGTTTTCATATACAGGAGGATTACTGATATTTTTGAGCTAATTTTTATCTAGCCACTTTGCGGAAGATGTTTATCAGATGAAGGAGTGCTCTGGTTGAATTTCTGGGGTTACTCATGTATACTATCATATCATCTGCAAATAGTGATATGATAGCATTTTTTTCAATCTCAGATGACCAAAGCAACCGGAAAAACATTGTCTTAAAAATTAGCCACATCATTACTTTCAACACTAAGCTTGAATGTTTGTTTTAAGGAAGAGAGAGTTGTATTGTATTATATGACCTAACTTTATTTATAAGGCATAACTAGCAAACATTCAGGAGTAATGATGATAGCAGATAAAATTCTTAATGAAATGTTATTATTTTATGATTATGAAATGGGAATAAAGCTATTTTACAAGTAGATGCTTGGTGATCTGAAAAACAAGAAAAACAGTAAGATTAAATATTATATTGAATGTCTTTGTCTTAAAGAATAATAGCTAATAGATTTTTAAAAAACTCAAAGTTATATAAAAACATTAGTACAAAAGCACCATAAAATTGAAATTGATAACATTCCTATAAAAAATAAAGATGAAAATGGAAACACCATGGAGGCATTCCATAACATAAAAATTTATAGCCATAACTGCTACAGTATTATTAAAATCA